CTCTCTCTCTCTCTCTCTCTCTCTCTCTCTCTCTCTCTCTCTCTCTCTCTCTCTCTCTCTCTCTCTTAATCTCTCTCCTTCTCTCTCACTCTCGCCCCTTCCCTCTCACTTTCTCTCTCTCACTTTCTCTGAACATTTCACGCTCCCAATGTGCTTGTTGCTGAGGTTACTTGTTGTGTGCACAGCAGGTGCTTGATGTGTGAATTTGGAGCGGCCTGACTTGCAACCCGCCTGCCCTGTAGGTACGACAACGTCAACCGCTTCTGGATTGCACGGAACTCCTGGGGCCCAGGTGTGAACACGTCAGGCTTGGTCGTGGAGGACAGCAGGGTTAGTGTATTAGAGTGGGCCCCGCGTGGCGAGTGCATTGGGGCCCGAGGTTGTTCTGGTCCTTCCCAGGAAGTAAGTTTTGACCTGCGCCCTTGCATGATGTGCTCGCCAATCTATGTCGCAGGTTTTGCTGACAACGGGAATTTCAAGGTGCTGACACTAGTGCTTTTTGCCCTGCTTTCACCCTTCAACAAAAACAGCAAGGGCCACTTGTTTGCTTGCTGGGCAGGTCCAGGCTGCTTGTGCAAACCTTGCCTTTCCATACATGAGCACACAGGAGCCCACAAGAACGCGTATCACCTTAACGCGCTGGTGCGCTCCTGCGTGTTGTATTTGCGCCGGCTGCTCGTAGATTGCGTTTGGCGTGGCGGGGGTTCTCACCCCAGGGGACACCTTCGGCATCGTTTTTGAGCCATCGGCTGGTACGCTTGTGCGGCCGGCTCCAAAGCTGACGCCGGCACCTGGCCTACCAGAGTGCTACCGTTACTACGAGGTTGGTGAATTGGACACACTCGCTTGGATTGACTAGCGTGGGATTGCAGTCTTGCATTTGCACAACGCAGTCTCCACGGAAGCCTTGTATGCACAGACAGGAGTCAAGGTTGCAGATACTGCGCTTGGGTCTATGAGCTTGCGAACAAGTTGGGCTTGCGTCAATCACACGCCCCTGCGCTCTGTGTGTTACTCGTCCCTCTTGGGAACCCGTGCTCAACACCTGCTTGCTGCCCTGTCCCCAAAGGCTGCGAAGGGGGACTACCTGTCAGGCGTTGCTGACCGGCTGGGGGTGCCCCTGGAGAAGCTGCTGCTGGACAACCTGGACCTAGTGAAGGACCTCGACAAGCCCCTGGCCGGCACGAGGCTCGCCGTGTGTCTCCGTCAGGAGCCTCGGCCGGCGCAAGCCACGGCGCCCACCCCTGATGCCCCTGCAGCGGCCCCAACCAAAGCGGTCGCACCTGGCTCGAGTTCGCAGTCAGAGCAACTGCGCGCACTGTTGGCGTTCAAGGCGGCCGTGGACAAGCAAGGGACGCTGGATTGGACGGCTGAGAGGGGTGCAAACGCGGGCTACTGCAGTTTCTACGGTGTCGGATGCGACGCGCAGAGCAACATTGCAGCAATTGGGATTATCGAAGAAAACCTGGGGGGAACGCTCCCCCCGGGCAGCGTTCTTGCACCTCTGACGGCACTGGAATCTATCCACCTGGGCAACACCGGTGTTTCTGGGACCCTGCCTGCCAACTGGGGCGCCCTGACCCAGCTGGAGGACATACGGATTGCCGGCAGCCCCGGCATCACAGGCACGATCCCCAAAGGTTGGCAAATGCTGACGCAGCTCAGGTTCCTGTACCTGCGGTGAGTCCGCCCCCCGGTTGGTTGTCAGACTCTGCCTGCATGGGGCGGGCGCACTGGGCGTGACGGCACTCGGGGCGTAGAGGGGGTTGGCCGCGGCATGAACATCTTTTGTACATTGACTGGCACTTAAAGGGGGTGGTTAGCAGTCGAAAGAAGGGCGGGAAGAACCGTAGACAGACGAGCTCTGCGCAGCCGCCCTTTGGGGCCGTCGTTTGCAATCCCAACCGCTGCGCATTACACACACGCCCTCGCTCACCCCTGCGGCCGCACGGCACCATCGGACCCCTCCCGCTTAGTGAGAACAACCTCACTGGCACGCTCAGCCCTGTCTTTGGTGCGACCTGGCCGGCCATGGAGGAGCTGGGGTTTGAGGACGACAGCTTCACAGGGCCACTGCCCAAGGAGTGGGCCAAGATGAGCAAGCTCAGGAAGCTGTTCCTCCAGTGAGAGGCCCGTTTCTTGAAGCCCTTTCGTAGTGGAGGGAGCGGGGCGGGGTGCGGGCAGGACGCAGCGGCGATAATGGAAAAGGGTGGTGATGTTGTGAACGAAGGCAAGGCCTGGCCAGGTTGCTTATTACATCGCGACTGGCTGTGGTGGCAGGGGGAGGACACGCAGGTGGACAACTGTTTGCAAGTACAAGCCCGTGTGCGTCGTCAGCCTCCCCAGCCCTTATGAACCGCGCCCACATCTGCTTTCGGTTCTCTGACTCCTTCTGCGGTCATTCCGTCCCCTCGCCCCCGTCCTGCCCCCCCCCCCTATCGCGCGAAGTGTAAACAAGCTGACAGGCACGCTGAGCTCCAACTTTGGCAACGCCTGGCCGGCCATGGAGGACCTCTTTCTGTCATTCAACCGTTTTGCGGGGCCCCTGCCCAGTGAATGGGCCGGGCTGCGCAGGCTGCGGCTGCTGCACCTGGCGTGAGACTCTGTTTGTTTGGGAAAGGGGGGCGCAGAGAGATGTTGGCGGGGCGCGGTGGCTGCAACGAAAATGTAGGGTGCGGTGACAAGAGGGGAGGCTTGGCCAGGTCGGTTGCTCCCAGAGGGCTTGCGGATACTGGGGGACCCCATGAGTGACATGACGAGAGCGCCACACGTTGAGGCCAGCATCAATGCACTGTCAGCTCCCCCAATCTCGACCCCTGCACTTCCGCATCCCACCCCCTCCGGGCCACTATTTTGCGTCACGTGTCCCGACATGGCCCCTCCCCACGCTCAGTACGAACAAGCTCACTGGCACGCTCAGCCCCAGCTTTGGCGCTGCCTGGCCGGCCATGGAGGAGCTGCACTTGCACAGCAACGGGTTAACTGGGCCCCTGCGCAAGGAGTGGGCCAAAATGGGCAAGCTCAGGAGGCTGCGCCTTGAGTGAGTAATATGCGCTTTGGGGCGCGCGTGGGAGCGGCTGATCGCCGGGATCGACAGGGCACAGCAGCAAGAGTGGCAAGGGGTGTCAGGGGGGCGGACAACAGGCGTCACTTGATCAGGCTGGAGTCATGAAGTAACATCGGGTGAGCGCCAGAGCAAGGTTGCTTGAAACCAAGGGCACATGCACAGCCGCAGAGCACGGCGAGCCTTAACCCCCGTCCTATCTTGTGCGACCTCAACGCCCTTCGGGTTGTAGTGGGAACAAGCTCACTGGCACGCTGAGCCCGGACTTCGGCGCTGCCTGGCCGGCCATGGAGGAGCTGCACTTGGACAGCAACGGGTTAACTGGGCCCCTGCCCAAGGAATGGGCCAAAATGGGCAAGCTCAGGAACCTGCGCCTTGAGTGAGTAACATGCGTTTTGGGGCGCGCGTGGGAGCGGCTGATCGCCGGGATCGACAGGGCACAGCAGCAAGAGTGGCAAGGGGTGTCAGGGGGGCGGACAACAGGCGTCACTTGATCAGGCTGGAGTCATGAAGTAACATCGGGTGAGCGCCAGAGCAAGGTTGCTTGAAACCAAGGGCACATGCACAGCCGCAGAGCACGGTGAGCCTTAACCCCCGTCCTATCTTGTGCGACCTCAACGCCCTTCGGGTTGTAGTGGGAACAAGCTCACTGGCACGCAGAGCCCGGACTTCGGCGCTGCCTGGCCGGCCATGGAGGAGCTGATGTTGTATAAGAACGGTTTCACAGGGCCGCTTCCTGAGGAGTGGGCCAAGCTGAGCAATCTGAAGAAATTATACATCCAGTGAGACTTTCTACGCGTAGACGCGGGAGGCCGGGGGTTGGTTGCGGGGCGTGGTGGTGGTCACTGGAAGGGGTAGGCGAGGGGGGCGGCAGGTGAGACTTCGCTGGATCGCCGCCTGACGGGCCGGGGCGACGCAGGGGCTTGGGGGGGGGGACACATACTCACACGAGAGAGCTCGAAGAACAGCACCGCTTGCAGACCTTGCAGCTGCTGCGCCAACTCTCCTGGCTCTCCTCCACCCTCCTGTGGCGACGCGCCGCTCACCCGCGCCCCTGCGGCGTAAAGCACGAACAAGCTCACTGGAACCCTCAGCCCCGACTTTGGTGCTTCCTGGCCGGCCATGGAGATGCTGATTTTATACAAGAACGGATTTGCAGGGCCACTGCCTGAGAAGTGGGCCAGGATGGGCAGGCTCAAGGTTCTGTACCTTTAGTGAGAGACGCCTTGTTGGGAGGCCGGCATGGGTTGGGGACGGCGGCGTCGCGCAGCGGCACTGGCGGAGATGGGGGACGGGGCAAATGCGGGGGGTGAATCCCAGCCGTGTTGTTTGCATCGCTGTGTGAGGTTGTGGGGGCGGGGGCTCACCAGAATCACACGGGCTTGGAGAGAGGCCAGCCGCGTCCACAGTCAGCTTGTGCCATCTGACCGCTGCCACGATCCCCTGGGCCCCCGCGCCAACAAACATCCACACGTCTCAGCGCGAACAAGCTCACTGGCACGCTCAGCCCCGGCTTTGGCGCCGCCTGGCCGGACATGGAGGAGCTGAACCTGGGCACCAACGGCTTCACGGGGCCACTGCCCAGGGAGTGGGCCAAGATGGACAAGCTCAAGAAGCTGCACATGAAGTGAGAATCATGCGCTTTGGGAGGTGAATGGGAGTGGATGATCGTCGGGATCAACATGGCACAGCGGCAAGGGTTCAAGGGGGACTGACAACAGTCATCACTTGGTTTGGCTGAGGTCATGTAGAGTCATGAGGTAAGCGCCAGAGCAAGGTGCCGAGCGCATATGCACAGCCGCAGGGCACTGTGAGGCTTAATCCACCAACCTCCCTGCCTCTGCGGCCACGCGGCCCAACACCCCCCGGCTTGTAGTAAGAACACGCTCACGGGCACCCTAAGCCCCGACTTTGGTACTTCTTGGCCAGCCATGGAGGAGCTGAGGTTGTACGAGAACGGCTTCACAGGGGCACTGCCGCAACAGTGGGCCCGGATGAGCAGGCTAAAGGAGTTGTTGCTCCAGTGAGATTTCCGACGGATAGACACGGGGGGCTAGGGGTTTGTTGCGGGGCGTGGTGGTCATAATGGGAAGGGGCATGCATGGGGACAGCGGTTGAGACTTGGCCGGATTGCCGCCTGACCGGGCGGGGTGAAGCGCAGGCTGGGGGGGGGGGGTCGGTGACACATACGCACACGAGCGAGGTTGAAGAGCAGCAGCGCTTGCAGCCGTTGCCGCTGTTGCCCTCACTCTCCTCCCCACCACTCCTGTGTGGCTCTGCGCCGCTCACCCGCGCCCCTGCGGCGTAAAGCACGAACAAGCTCTCTGGAACCCTCAGCCCCGACTTTGGTGCGTCCTGGCCGGCCATGGAGACGCTGCTGTTGCACGAGAACGGCTTCACAGGGCCACTGCCTGAGGAGTGGGCCAGGATGGGCAGGCTCAAGAACCTGTACCTTCGGTGAGAGTCGTCTTGTTGGGAGGCCGGGGTGGGGTGGGGTGTAGGGGGGCGGCGTGGCGCAGTGGCACTGGGGATGGGAGCCGGGGTAAATGCGGGGGTGGATCCCAACCGCGTTGTCTGCATCACTGTGGTCGTGGAGGCGGGGGCTCAGCAGCATCACATGGGCTTGGAGAGAGGCCAGCCGCATTCATGTTCGTCTTGTGCAACCCGACCGTTGGCATGATCCTCACCTTTGTGCCCCTCCGCCCGACAACATCCACGCGGCTCAGCGTGAACAAGCTTACGGGCACGCTCAGCCCCAGCTTTGGCGCTGCCTGGCCGGCTATGGAGAACCTGAACCTGCGAACCAACGGCTTCACAGGGCCACTGCCCAAGGAGTGGGCCAAGATGAGCAAACTGAGGTTACTGGTTCTTGAGTGAGGCTCTTCTCCAGGGGAGGCGGGGGAGGGGATGGGCGGGGCGTGGGGCCGGCAATGGGCATGGCATGGGCAAGGAGACGATCGGTTGGGACTTGGCCGCTTTGCTCGTCATGCGAGGGGTTGTGTTGAGTGGGCACGAGGAGCGAGCGTTTAGATCAGCAGCTCCCGCGGTCCATGCCGCAGCACTCACCCTCCTCCCCTACTCGCCCGTGGCGACGCGCGGCGCACCCCTGCCCCTATGTGTGAAGCACAAACAAGCTCACCGGTACGCTGAGCCCCGAGTTTGGCGCCGCCTGGCCGGCGATGGAGACCCTGCGCCTGGGGTTCAACCGCTTCACGGGGCCGCTGCCCGCATCCTGGGGATCCTTCAACGCGCTCACAGAGCTTGCTTTGAACAACAATCAGCTTCAAGGCAGTGTACCGCCCCCATGGAGTGCACTGGGCAAGACGCCTCTGGAAGTTCTGGCGCTCTCAAACAATTCTGGCTTGGTGGGCTGCCTGCCACGGGGCCTGGAGAGGTTTGAGAAGAGAGAGGCTGTCTGCCAAGGCACACGTCTGAAATGCTCAGTGTGCTGAATGTTTGCCAATGAATTGGGTCGTCTTCTGATGATGAATTTTGCATGCGCGCTCTGGCAAGAGGATGGGCTGCACACCGCCTGGACACGAACCAAAGCGGGGCCATGAAGTGAGTGTGCGCTCACATGAAGGTTCAAAAATGGCCTTTGTGCGCACGACCTCTGTATCAGCACAGCATCTGCACAGATGTTGAGCATTTGGCATGCATGCGTCCTTGCTGCAGTTGCAGTGCCGCCGTGCGCTTGGCGCCAAGGTCAGCTTCACCATGAAAGGTCTCCGCAGGCTGTCCTAGCTTCCCCTGCATTTGCATGATGTTCTTTCCAGCACCTTCACATTACCTCTATGTCCGTGCAATTTTAGTATGTAAACGTGTGCACGATAGGGTGACAAACGCCTGAGCCTAACAGCTGCTGATAGTATGTGGCATTGCTGTGTCCCCTCAAAACACCCATGCGTCACCCCTGCTTCTTCACTTGGAAATCGGGCTCGAACCGATAGGTCAGCGCCACGCGCGCCAGGTGCCACCCCTCTGTCGCCGCGGCCGCCGCCGCGCGCCCCGCCAGCATCAGCGCCGCCGCCGAAGAGCACGCGGCGAGCGCGCCGCAGGCGCCGCTCTGCAGCGAGGCGAGGAACACGTACGCGGCCAGCCACCGCAGGCACCGCTTGTGCAGCAGGTGCGGCGCCGGCAGCGGGCCGCCGCCTGGGCGGCGGCCGCGGCCCGCGGC